TGCATATCGGCTGGCCATAACCCCATGAAGAAGACTCTCCTTAAAGTACGTGCAGCTAAATCATGTACAGCTGTATAGCTCTGTGTGATACTCTGAATAAGACCATAACCTGGTGATACAATAGTTAGAATGCAGTACTGCAGGCTAACTCCACCCACGGTTTGGAGTTCGGGGCTCAGGGCTGACTCAGGCTTCCATCTTTCCAAGGTCAGTAAAATGAAGACACAATATGCTGACTCCGTAAACCACTGAGAGAGGGCTGTACAGCAATGTGAAGCAATATATACGGTAAGTCTAAGTACTATTGCTATAATCTATCAGTAAAGAAAGTAATGACCAGAGAAAAAGTGTTACACTATAATAGTGGTAGTTGTTTTCTCTTGCTAACATACCTAATTTTGACAGCGATAACTTCTGAATTGTTTTCAGAGGCAGCCCTGTGTAGAAGGTATTCTAGATGTATACTAAATAGGGAGTTAGGGTTAGGTCAGCAGTCCCGTGTCCCCCCGCCGAGGTGGGTTGCTGCCGGTTCGGCCTGAATCGGGTGAACTGGTAGGAGCGATGGTGGAGGCTCCATCCACCCACCTGGACGCTTCTGCACACGCGCAGAACATTGCGCATGCTTGAACTGGTAGTAAAAATAATAGAAATCCACCACTGAGGCCGCCCAACCTTTCTGCTTGGCGGCCCAGCATCGGGGGGTGGGAAAAGGGGATAGATCCTTGCGAGTGGGAGGCAGGTGCATGCAGGCATGTGCAGTTCCATTTACACTTGAAAGAGCAAGCAGCTGCTGCAAGTGTGAAAGGAGCTTCGTGTTTGAGTGCAAAAAGGACACCAGACAGTGCGAGGACAGCTTTGTGTGCAGGAGGAAGATGGCCACCACTTGTGCGAGAGCTTTGCACGTGCACATACACTTGCCCGCCACTTACATGGCCCAGTTCTGAACAGGCTGCATCCTGATAGTGGGCTGTGGCCCAGGGGCTGGGACCCCTGGCTCAAATATACAATCTGAATGCATTTTGAATTCTTTTTCTGGGAAATATACAGGAAGATGGTGGGGGGGTGTTAAAAAAATCAAGATGGAAGTCAGGCTTATCTCAATATTTCACATATTTGTGTTAATTCTCCTTCTTTCTTGGATGGGATTCTGTATGTGTTCTCTTGCTTCTTCTCTAGGAATAGAATAGCAAGAAATACAGGTAGTCCTAGACTTATGACAAGTTGTGCCAAAAATTTGTTAAGTGAGACATAAGTGAGTTTTGCCCCATTTTATGACCTTTCTTGCCTCAGTTGTTAAGTGAATCACTGCAGTTGATAAACTAGTAACTAGTAAACTGGTTGTTAAATGAATCTGACCTCATTGCTTGTCAGAAGCCGCAAAAGATGATCACATGACCTTGGGACACAGCAACAGTCATAATATGAACAATTGTCGAGCATCTGAATTTTGACCACATGATTATGCGGATGCTGCAAGGGTTATAACTGTGAAAAATGGTCATTAGCAGTGGTGAGTTCCAGATCCCGGTGCAACTGGTACAGTGCAATGGGGCCCAGCATACACTACATGCACATGCACAGCACACACACAACCCTCACATGTGCATTTACCGCCCGTGACACTCGCGACGCTCTAGCTGCTCGGCGGAGTGTCATGCAGGTGCCGTACACTCTGTGTGTGTGCGCATAAGCCCCGAGGGCGGGTAGGTAGTCCTTCCGGAGCACCATAACGGAACGGTACCTGATGCTCCCAGCAGACACCGGTGCTGGGGCGTACCGGTCATATCCCGCCACTGGTTGCAAGTCACTTTTTTCAGTGCCTTTGTAACTTAAGTG